CTCTCTCTCGCTCGGTGGCCGCCGCTTCTGCCGCCGGCCGGGCAGGATGGTGGTGTGCGGCCTCGCCTGCTGGAGGTGCAGGTGGCTCCTGCCCCTGCTGCTGGGCCTGGCCATCATCATGGGCATCATCGCCCTGGCGGGCAGGGGCTGGCTGGAGTCGGAGTCGGAGCCCTACGTGCAGCAGGCGTCGTTATGGGAGAGCTGCACGCGGGGCGAGCAGGACCTCAACTGGAGCTGCCTGTCCCTCATGGACTTTGGTAAGCCAGGAGCCCTCCGGCGGGCCCGGGGGCGGCGGGCGCCGACGCCACGAGCCGTCCGCCCCCCTCCGCTGCGGAGCAGCTGCCGTCCGGGACGGAGCTTCCCTTGCAGAGCCAGTACCCGTGCTGTTCCGGGGCTTCGCCAGCGGAGAAGCACGGGGCTAGGCCGCTTCAGAGCGATCTTTTCTAGCGCCCCAGCACTGAGAAGCCAGGGTGTTGGTGTCTTGGTTTTCGAAAGTTACTTTACAGCCAAAGTAAGAGAGCCAGCGGGCCGCAAGTCCCCTCTTCAGTTTGCTTTCTCCCAACTCTCTGCAGGCTGCAGAGCCCGCAGCCTTGCCTGGCACGGGGCAGCTCCCCCTCCCTGTGCCGCTGGCCTTGCTGGTGGGATGGCGAGCATGGAAACCTTCGTGCAGGGTGTCCTATGCAGAACCGCACCCGGACAATAGTAAAATGGTCTTCCCCTGGCCCCCCGGAGGGAAGACAGCACCTTAATTTAACCTTGCCTGGCCAAGGCAATGTGGCTATTAGGATGCCTCCCAACCTACAGCTTAAAATGGCCTGATGTGGGTTTGCAGGCAGAAAAAAAGGCCGTTTCCTCTGTATACCTCTCTATTGCACTGGGGCCTAAACCAGGGGATAATTGTGCCTCTGTTGTAACTTGCTGAGCTGCTTCCGTATCTGGCATTGCCAGTGTAGTATTTTTACTGCACGCTCCCAGTTTCTGTTTTTTGGGGGGGACTTTTGGGGTTTCGCTAGAACATGTGGGTCTGATTACATCCACCTTTCCCTCAAACAAAGTATTTCTGGACAAATAAGCAGACCCGCCTTAAGATCCTGGATGAGGGTACTTTGGGGACTGGGAAGCTGGAAAGGGGTGTTTCAGCCGGGAGAGCTGGGGCTGCTTCCCTGAGCAGATCCCTTGCTGCCTGAGCGTGGCAGACTGACTTCCAGAAGCTTTTCATTGCAACACTCAGGCAAAGAATATATCGTAAGAGCAGTGGCTTCATTTCTCAGCCAGGTGATGACTGCAGGTTTTAATGTAGGTGGAAGAAATCTGGCTAGTATGGCAAAAATATCTGTCTCCCCCATTAGACAGAAGAAAAGCTAGTGCAGAGTGGCTGAAATCTGCATTTCACAGGGAAGAAGTGCTAATACAGTAGAGCTGCTGAAATTTGCTTTCTGCTGTAGTGATGCTGCTTCTCATGTCCCTGAGTACTGATGGGTGTGTGCTTCGTGTCAGCCCTGAGCGTTGTGGGGCAACAGCAACTTTCTGCTGTTTTTTTCTGGTTAACAAGCTGTCAGAGAAGAATAGTGTCCTTGACTTTGCTTATTTAAGCCTTTAATACCAACTTGACTTTGCGTCTTCCCTAATTTTCATGACATCTATGCCACTGTCTACTGGAATAGTATTTACATCTAGAGACACAATGTAACATATGAGTTCAGGTTTGATTTATTTTGTTTCCTTTTTTCTATGCTAATGCAATTAGGCTCAAAATAGGTGAGGGCATTTACAAAGGAAAAAATGCCTAGCAGGCATTTACAGTACTGCTGCAGGAAAATAAAAGTTAATTAATTGAGATGCATAACTTGTGTTTTGCATAAAATAACTACTATGCACTAGCCATCCTGCACCTTTCCTGATGAAATGAAAACTTCAGAGTGGATCCCCATTAATAGAAAGCTCCATTAGACAGTTTCTTAATTGAGCTGCAGCATGTGTACTAAGAAGAGGAAGAGAAAAAGCAGCCGAATCACTCTTTTTAAATGGGGAAAAAGGGGCAGGAACAGACAAACAAAGATTTGCAAATAGGAGTGTCTCCTAAACTGCATTGCTTCTTAATGCACATTTGCAAATGCCACATGAGAGGGAAGTGGAAAGGGAAAAGAAGAGTAGGATGTCATTTGGTAGGGAGGTGGGGAAAGGATTTTGTTTAGAGCTCTATACTGGTTTGTGTCTGGGAAGTACCTGGCTGGCAGCATCTGTGTATTATCAAAATGTTGCAAGGCGGAGCTGCTGTACTGCACTATAAAATGACTCATGATGACTTAGTCTGGACCATTGCAGGATTAAATTGTTGGCTGTGTGTTTAAAACATATCAGTAAGCCATCAGATATGACAAGGATTGTTTGCAATGCGGTTACTTGGAGAGGGTGATTGTCTTTACAGTGGTGAGGCTGTAAGTTTAGGAGCAGTATTTGTGGGTGGCTGTGTCCTTCTGGTTCTGAATGGCTGCTCCCAGGGACTTTGCTTTGAATTATCACTGTAAAAGATGGGTGTGTATGTGTGAGGTAGAGGTGATCCCATGGAGGTTAACTCTTCCTTATATTCCTAACAGCCAGCTGGTATTCATTAAGTACACAACAGCCAACCTAGAAGAAGGGAAGCATTCATCTGGATCCTTAGTAGGTGCCAAAAAAAAAAAAAAGTGGAACCCAGAAGCAGGAGCCCAGCCTTTGTGAATCATGTTTCACCATGGTTATGCCACTGTACCTGTGTCCTTGCAGGCATGGACTTTGATACCACAGATTATTGGTGAAGCTTAGTGCCTGTGTCCACTGAGGGGCCAGGTAAATAAAGGAGGAATATTACATGTATGCTTATCTTTTCAGTATGCTGCTTTTCAGGCATGCTTCTGTCTGATTTACAATGCCAGGATGTATTTGAGACTAACTTAGTTTATAGTGTCAGCCGAGTGCAGGTGCTCGGAAAGTGTTAATGGAAGAGGTGTAGCAGTTGGTGTCCCTGTCCACACCCACTAAACATTTACCCCAACTCCCTAGTAAAAGATCCCAGCAAGCAGGTGAGGCTGCTGTCCCCACCAGTGGGCTTTGCTGGCCCCTGGGCAGGCACACTTCCCCTGCTAGCAACCCACAGGCATTAAAAGTCGGAAATTTATAGGACCGTGCCTCTCCTGAGCTCCTGGCAGAGTCAGGTGGCTGAAGCCAAGTTTGTACTAGTGGTCTTTTATTTAACAGTTTGGTAGTATAGCAGTTGCTTTTCCTGCACTCCTAAAGCCAAAACAGAGCCGTGATTCCCAGTATTGATTCCCATCCAGCCCTCCCAGCAAACCTTTGATTCTGGGCTGTCCTGTGCTTCCGGTGGGTATGCACATACCTTCCCTTCACCAGTCATGCTGCCATGGAATTTTGCACATTATGTGGGCAAGAAAGTGTTACTGACAATGCTCTCAGTCCAATACTCCTTTGTTTCATTAACAAAAGCAGATATTTATGGGCATTCTATGTAACGAGTTCTCAAGGCCGAACAAGAATTGCTACTGCCATTTATATACAGAAAAAATATTATAACTACAGTGTAAAAACATGCCTCATCTATGCATGTCATGGTAAAAACTTCTACCCTAAGATTCCAGTTATTCATAAGTTAACAAACTAGCTTCTGCTTTTGTAATTAAGTGAACAAAGATGAGAAAGGCTTGTTACTTCAAATCCTATAGCAGTTCATCTGCCTGCTAGACTATTTTCCCAGTCCTTTTATTCATTTCTACAAGGAAATCTGGATTTAAATATCCTACCCTGTAGAGCTTCCATCCTCTCCCTGGTGGGGCTGAGGCACAGCCAAATAAAATCAGGAAGTACACCTAACAGTAAGGCTCTGTTGCTTGCTTTTTTTTTTTTAAATTTCATTGTATTACTGGTGTTCATCATTAACTTCAGATAATAATTTGCGTGATATTTGCAGCTTAGTTCCCTTCCAGAGTCATCATTAATTAAGCTACGTCATAAAACTCTTAATCCTTCCTAATAATTATAGCCTTTCAGCCCCTGAACAATTTTTTTAATGTTCTTTCAACACCACCTAACTGATAAATACATTTCTGCTGATTAGGTGCAAAGAACTTGACTATTATTTGAGGCAAAGCTGACCTAGGGAATGCTAATACCTCCAACTGTTCTCCTTTTCTGCTCTCCTATTTATGCAGCCCCAAATTACTGTGACATTATTGTTTGATTTCATAAACAGACATCATATTTATGCCTGTTTTGAGTAGGAAGTACTCTCTCTGTCAAATTAAGGGACCTGAGAATTTTCTGGCTTTATGGAAAACTTGAATTCTGGCTAAATAGCTTGTGATTACAAGGTACTTTGGAGCACAAACCAGCTAGAAACTGGGGCTGATCTGTCTTTCTCTGGACGTGAGCAGGTGTCTCTGGCTCTTAAGGCAGCAAACAGCGAGAGTGCAAACCCACACCTCTCCCTTCCCGGCAGCCGGGAGCTGTAGGTGGAGGATCTTGCCGACAGAGACAGGAGAGCTGGGTGCCTGCGGAACTCGGTCAGCTCTCAGGAGCCGCTGGGAGGAGAAGGAGCTGGAAAAGCCTGACTCGATAGGTATGGGGATGAGGGGGATCCTACATGGAGAAACAGCAGTTTTAGTCGGGGCCCTATAGCAGTCCCTCTGCTGAAAGTGTTCCCCACTGATGGGGGTAGCAATGGTTTGTGTGGGAGAGGAGTGTGCCAGGACTGCACCCTGTGCTCGGTAAGGGTGCAGCCTCCTACCCCAACCTCTTCCATCAGTCACTTATTGAAAGAACTCTTTTAATAATTTTTTGAGATTTCTCTTACACTGTGTATATATACAAGTCCAGACCTTGTTGCTGCTCTTCCCATGACTCCCACCGTTTGATGGCTGGCCGTTTGATGGCTGTTGTCTAGTCCAGCCCAGAGCAGACCCATCCAGTGCTGTGGCCAGCACCTGTGACTCAGTCCTATCAGTTCTTGTCAGTAGCAACCCACTGATAGCTGCTGCTGGAGAAGATAACCAGCAGGAGAAGGAGAGGAAGGTACGGGGTCACTAGCACCGAGTTCTGTCACATGTGAGCACAAAACCCACTGAATTTCATAATGGTGGTGCCTTACTACTGCCCTGTTTCTGAAGACCTGAAACAAAGCTGGGCGTAATATTAATCTTCCTGACAAGACATCTCCTACAGCTGTATGTGTTGTCATTTTCATATCACCAGAGACGACAAAATAAATCGCTGTGAGCGGAGCTGGGACTGCCCTGTATCCAAAAGCTTGTTACGCTCATGAAGTAAGCACAGAGAATATGGAAATAGCAGAGAGCACTGGGGGCTTTCTGGCTCGTATGTCCTCCAGTCATGTTTGTGTTGCACCAAACCTCAAGGTGTCTAACCTGCAGGTGTATTTGAGTTTGCAACCTAAATTTTACCAGGCAGATGCCAGACATGGCTTCCTACGCTGTGCCAGCATGTATAATGCATCTGAAAGGGAATGTGCTTTGATAACTAAGTGTTCCTTCTTATTGATGTGCTTTTTTTCTTAATAGGGCAAATATCGATAAATAGCATTCCTAGGTCATTTAGTCTGAATCACTTTTCCTGGGCTGGCTGTGTGTAATGGCTAAATATTCCTTTCTATTGCTTATCCCTAGATAAGTCCTATTCTGGAGACAATATCCAGTACCTGCGTTAGGTATGTCAGAGGATATTTTCTAGGAAAAGATTTTATCAGACCACTGACATAGCTTTAATCTCCAGATGCTCATCAGGTGTTCTCCCTCCCTCCTCACCTCTCCCTTAGGGAGGGGTCATGAAACATGCACAATTGGCTGAATGAGAACTAATTTGAAAAGTTTTTGCTGTCTTGAGTAGCTCCAAGAAGGGAGAGGGGAAAGAAAACTCTTTTCCTTACCCTTTCTATGCCAGCATGACTGTCTTCAGGTGGTGATGGTTGGAGGTTTTGGGCTGAGATCTGACTGACAGATGGCTGCTGTATTTCACTTTTCCTATTGGAATAGGGGGGAAAGAAACCAGTTCAGACTGATCTAATGAAAACAGCTGTAAAACAATGCTTTACTTTCAGAGAGTAAATTGATGTACATAGTAGAGGTGTCTGAGACAGTTTTACTGCATTCTCTGTCTCAAATTATAGTTTTTTTCCCATTTATGCAACTAGTAGAGTATGTACGTGAGTTAAGGTGGAGGATTGTAACTCTTTAGGAAAAGGTTCTCTGTCTTACTGTCTTTTTCGTCTTAGTTTTTGCACAGAAAGAATGGAAGCTGTGTTGAAAGCAGGGTGTCTCCAGAGCACTTCAGCTGTGTTGGAACAGACAGCTCTGATGAAAGACACATTTTTTGGAAAACGTTCTGATCTAGATCTTGCCGCTCTCTTTATTCTTACATTAGAGGGAGCTTGGGATCTGGCCCTACCTCTGTCTGAACATGTGAAAGTAGAAACCCATGTTATGCAGATGTGGGAATTGAGCTGTGATGACAGCTGACTGGAAAACAAAGCACTAATCGTATGGTTTAGCCCATGTGGGCAGGTATCCTGCCTCCAGGGCAGGAACACCTCTGCTTGTTGTTGTTTGCATTGGGCTCACCTGAACTTCTACTTGGTTTCTAAAGAGAACAGGGTCTGGCCATAATGAGGGCCTTTTCACAAGCCCGTGTTACTGCAAAGAGGGAATTGCTGGCTGTTTTTTCTGGGAGGTTTTTTTTTCCTTTGTTGCCTTGGCCTGTGATGGGTGAGTTCTGGGTCCTGGTGCTGCTCTGCTGGGATAAGGCCACTTGCTTCGTGGTTGAGCCTCTCCAGGCTGCAGTTGCTTGATCCTAAGAATCTGCACCACCCTATCCCATCAAATGTCAAAGTAATGATTCAAAGAAGACTCTTCCACTTTACCTCAGATTCTTCTGTTTCTCTTCTACCTGCTACGTTTTAGCTGTTTCTAAGGTTTTTTTTTCAGCTGTGAATAGATGTTTATCTTCAAGAACTTTCTCTTTGTCATCTCTCACTTCAGCTATTCCAAATCTATTTCTTTCTGGTCATGCTAATTTTGCTCCACATGCATTATTCCTGTTATAAACAAACAGGCAAGAAGCTGTATGCTGACAGCACTATTATTTCCCAGCAGTTATCTCCTGTGGTGGTACCCTCTTGTCTGCTCTCATACTTCCATATGCATGGAAGTGGTTTTGTAAATTTGCATGTCAAACAGGAACAGTAAGGATAAAGTACCTTCTCAGTGGCTGTGTGCCCTATCTGCACAGAGGTCTGTGGGTCTCTCACAGATACAGAGTTTGGAGGTGTTATCTATATTACCATGCTGCACTAGTTCTGTGCTACTTCTAGGGAGTTCTGTGCTGTTCCACCAATGATGGTGCCTCTCTGCTCTGGAGCTGTGTGCTTTGGAGGCATCCTGTATTGATTTGACAGAGGGCATGCTTCTTACAGGAAAGGATTTCAACAAAAAATGATTAAAGGAAACCAAAGACCTACAACGATCTACAGTTCAGTGCACTGATGTGTGCAACATCTTTCTTGTTTTCTCTTCAAGGATGGGGGAGAGCAGCAGCTGCCACATACCTCGTTGGCTTTGTGATCCTGGTCATCTGTTTTGCCCTCGCAGTCATTGCATTCTCGATCGAGATACTTCGCTTCAACTTTGTGCGAGGAATTGGAGGCCTGCTCTTTGTTGTTGGTAAGGCTGGGCACAAAGACAAGGTTATTTTAGATGTAAAACAGGCATCAGCAGAAAAATATGCTAGATGGAACCTCCCTTATGAAATAAGCTGCCTTTGTCTGGTTTATGACTCACTTTCATGGGGAACAAGGGAAGGTTGATTTACGCTCTGAGAGCATAATGGTTAGGGAAGCTCCAGTGGCCTTTGTCAGTTAGCACTTTCCTAAAAGCAGTGTATGGGGGCAATGAACACCTTTGACCCAGCATATCACATGCTAAGACTTAGGAGCTGAGAGCCCTGGGTTCTTCTCACCTTCCCAAGGGGTGGAGGAGCGATGGGGCTGTGGTACAAGTGGGACGTGACTGGCTCCGCAGGGATCACAGTGCCTGGCTGTGGGACAGGGCTGGTCAGGGCATGCAGTTATGTGCCTCAGCAACCTGGCAATGCCGCAGTCAGATAGGTGTGGGTATCTGCCTTGGCCAGAAGTCACGTACCTCTGTAAGAACGCAGATTTGATTATATGTAAGGATTAGTGTCAGTCCTACCTTAAAAGGATATGCAGTTATCTCCAGGTACCTTTTTTTAGTGGGAAATGTAATACATTCGTAGTAATTTAATCCTGCTTTTCTTTCTCTCTCTAGCTGCATTCCAGATCATAGGCTTGGTCATCTACCCAGTGAAATTCACTGAAGAAATTCCACTGATGGGAGATAACATGTTCAGCTGGGCCTATGGCTTTGGCTGGGCCAGCACTGTTGTCGTAATAGGTTGTGCTTTCTTCTTCTGCTGCCTCCCCAACTGGGAAGATGAAGTCCTGGGAAACATCAAGCCTACCTATTACTACTCCTCCCCAGAGAGAGCACCATACTTAAATTGAAAGATTAAATCCAAGTACAATCAACTGTCAAAACAACAGAGGAGCACCTCTGATGTAAATTTGGTGTGATTATAGGAGACTGGAAAAACCCACCTTATTTCTCCAGAGTATTTACTATTATATTGAACTAGGTGATCTTAAAGGTCCCTTCCAATGCAAGCCATTCTATTTCTTACTAGTCCTGGCAATAAATGAGTGAAAACATTGGCATCTTTAAGCAAATAGCTTTTACCTAAAGTATTATTTATGTATTCTTATGTTGATTCTGTTTGGGTGGTTTACTAGCTCCTTCCCCTCCCAACTAATTGAGTCATCCTTATTTTAATCAAACACTTGCTGATGAATAAAGATGTAGTGTTTCAAGTGTAGAAAGGGGGAGGAGATATTTTAAACAACACATTAGAGGGACCTGTAAGTTATTTTTTTCACCTCTGACAAAATTGCCTTAAATGGAACTAGAAAAAGCCCAACCTTCCAAAGAATGCTTTTTCTTCTACCAAAGTCAGTCCCAAGGAAGGAACTTCCCTGAGACTGTCGCAGTCACCTGCTGCCTAAGAATCTCTTCTCATTCCTGTTACTGGACTATTGTTGACTATTAGCTGTTTGAATTAAGGGGAAAATAAAATTAAAATTTATTTTCTACCAGTTGGTACTATTGGACAGAGGTCTTCTCTAAAGCGTGGAGCTGGTGTGTATAACAGTGGCTAATGTAACACTTACTGGTGTTTTTGTGGCCACTGCAGGACTTGTGATGGAGCCACATATAACTTAATATACATTGTCACAGAGAGAATCAATAAACTTTCAGATGTTAAACTACATACATGGTATTTGAGGGATGCCAACAGAAAATACCTTTGAGTAGAAACATACATTGTTCTTTATGTCTACATTTTTAAAACTGCAGTGTTTTAATTATCAGCGCTGCTTTGGAGGGAAATGTTAGCATAAGGTGTTGAAAACCTCCGAAAGTTTCTAAAGCACACTGTAGGTACTCCAGAGTTTAGTAAACTTGGGGATGCTTTGTGAGTCACTAGGGATAACAGGTAAAAATAGAAAAGCAGTTCTGTGAGTGATTTACATATGCAAACTTCACACAGACACCCGTCTCGGGGAGTAATCTGGCCAGCTCCTAGCTTGTGTTTCTGGAGCCAGCAATTCCAAATAAGTATTCCAGTGAGGCAGAGCCATGTCTGTATTGGTCATGGAGCTGCAGCAGCTTACAGCAGATTTAATTATGGTCTGTCATCTTTGTCAGAGCTTTCTTCAGCTGGGGAAGAAGGAAGAGGCTCATTTGTGGAGCTCCTCTGCCAGCTATGGGGGAAATAGCTCTAGCAGAGACAGACTTCTGAGGGGGGTACAGGTAGGGTGGAAAGCAAATGCTGTGCATTACTCTGGGTAACGAGCAGCTGGGGACTTATTTCTTACTATTTTGAACCCAGTACTTATGAGAGGGTAAGTGTGTGGGTATATGTATTCATGCACACGTACAAAATAGAACTTTTAAAGCATTAACCAGCATACTGTAAACCTGAAGTCATTTAGAACTAAGCTTTTTCAATGCCCAATATTCCTTGTATTATACGTTGTATAGCTTTCTGTTTTGTAACACCTTTTTTAATTTGGTAATTCTCTATATTGCATGTGATCCTGTTTTGGAAAGGCCAGGTGACTTCTGAAGGTCCCTTCCAGGCCTGTATTTTATAACTTTGCAGAGCGTAAACACCTGGAGACTTCAGGACCATGTTAGAAGCTCAGTCATGGCATATACAATCAACTGTATTTATAATTCTTGCTGAAGAAGAGAATCCTGTGACAAATATGTGTTTTGGTTGTTTTTTTTGTTTTGTTTTGTTTTTTTCTTTCTGTACAGTACTGGCTGGTGGGGAATACTGTGTAGACTTATCTGTATCATGAGTAATGATAATACCTACTTTCTAGTGAATTCAAAACACAGCAGAGAATCCCAAGTCTGGAAAATCCTTGCACAGCTAAAGCTGAGAAGGAGAAAAGACATAAGAAAATGGACACCCTTCCTAATGAGAGGGAGGATGGTATGATAATAGGGTTTAGCATAACTTAAGTCTTTTGTATGTTTTTTTTGTAAGTATCGTCATAACTTGTCAAAAAAGCACAAATGTAAAATAAACTTGGCTCTGAATATACTGGGAGGGGTAGAAGCATAACCAGCATGTTACACAGTTAGGATGTTCAGAGGGGGAAGCTATTGCAAATAGTCATTAATTACTCTCAAGTGATACTAATGTATGTGGCACTCCTTTCAGATGTGGTGGCTTAATTAAAACTGTTTTAACTGACGGTTGTAGAAACTTGGTGGTATTTGTGGTTCATAGATTCGTTTCATAAACTCAAGTAAATAGCCATTCTTCCCATATCTTAAAGTGAATATTGGTATCCATGAAGCGTCAGGTTAATAAAATGAAGTTAAAGACCTCATGTCCAGGAGGAAACAACTTCATTTTCCAGTCAAATAAGCTTGAGTATCCACTGCAAAACACAACTGTGCACTTCATCAGAAGTGCCAGGCATAGAAAGCTCTTTGCTAAGCCAAAACCTCTTAAACGCATCACAACTTGAGGGGGAACTCTAAACTTTTTAAGTATGTAACAGTCTACAGGAGGTCTCAGATGTAGGAAGCCTGTTCTTTTTTTTAATCAAAACTGTGCCAAGTACCTTTCCTGTGCTGATCAGGAACTTAAAATAGTGAGAAAAAGATGGAGTACTTGCCTGCTATTTTCAGTGGAAGACTTCACTTTTGTGATTAGAAACCTTCCCATTTCTAACCTCAGATTATGCATGGCCACATATAACCCCATGCTAGTGGCATTGTGTATCCTGAACAGCTCTTTCTCCCTCTGTTTTTTTACAGAGAGCAAATCTCCTGTCAGCCACTGCTGTCTTAAACAAGCCTGTGGCTTCTGATTTCTGGAAAGACAGGTTCACCATTCTCCTGATTTTTTTAGCTGTCCTCTTCCTTAAATGTCTTAGTTTTAAAACGCACTTACCACCCTAGATTCTGGTGACTTGCATGGGTTTTTTTTCGGGGTTTGTTTCTTCCCCCCCCCCCTTTAATTACGCTTAATTTTAAATATACAATTAGGGAAAATATTTTTATTCCTTTTAGATTTTCCTAAATGCTTTGAAGATAATTGGAGGGTTTGTATAATGCCCATTTTTTTTGACATGAAGAACACTTGTACTCTTGTTTACCTACCAGTCTGTGCTCACTAAAATCTACCAAACAACTCCAGTGAGCTTCAGGCTGCAGGGTAGCTCCTTCTAACCCAACCCTGGAGAAGAGAGAATCTGAGCACGCTTGGCTATCATCTTAGGGGAGGTTACAAGCAATCAAAAACGTGCGTGACTGGGTGCTAGGGAAGGCTGATTGACCTGAATGGGAAGATTAATGCTTAAATCTTATGGGTATGGGAAACAGCTGCCACACCCCACTGGGATTTTGTATTTTTACTTGACGTAACAAGCAACTAATTTTCTAGACAATTCCTTTACAAGGTAGAATTCTTAAGACGTATTCACCTGACCTTTACATTCTGCATCTAAGGACTTTTGAACCTAGAATGCATACATAAATCAAGACAGTGTAGTAACAGATCATTCAAGATAATTTTTTGGGGGGGAGGGTTGTTATGGTGATAAGCACTATAGAAACAAACACCCATGTGCTAAAAGAAAAGGTTACACACACAAAAAAGAGAGTTGCTGAGATCATTGAGCACTTATGAATTCACAATGAACCAAGCATGTCTATCGATGGAAACCAAAATGCTTTAGGAGATGCACAACAGCTGAGAGAGCTGAGGTATTGGTCCCGCAATGCAGAGCAGTGGAGGTTACTGGCAATACGGAACAGCACCCTGAAAAAACAGGGTTTACAGTGCCAGTAGGTGAAGCTCCACAGATTTGAAAATGAACCTGGGAGATGATACTCACAACCAGAATAAAGTATAATCAAATCTGGAGGATATGTTTGCCAAAAATAGGGATGCTGAGTTTCTGAATGCGATTCCTGTAACAAGTGTCTGTACAGAAGTAGTGAAATCCATGTGCAATGAGTTCACAGCAGCTGGGATATGTCAGTGTTACTGCGCAGGTGCAGCAGTTTATAGATGTAGATCCCATTGACTAAGAATATGACGATTTTGCTGTGCATGTGCAGTGTATTCATAAGATAGGTCTGATGCACCCACAGCGCAGGTCTGCATTGGTACAGTAAGCAGCCTTTTGCTTGGGATTTCCAAAGGTGCGGGCCAAGCTACTCCAGCTATGGAGCCCGACATCTGGAAATTCCAGGCAAAAAGCCAATGCCCTCAAATTTTGCCTCTCTAAAATTGTATTTAAATTACTTGGGAGATGTCAGAATAATCCAAAGCCTTTTTTATTATGATTTTTGAATACCTAAATTTAATAAGGCTGAATTTATAATAAAGACTGTAGTGGAAAACATGCAGGCATATCTAGAGCTTTATAATATAAATATTATAATGATAAACAATATAAATAAATAAAAATAATGTATGATAAGCAATATGCATTGTATAATATAATTAATAAATATAAGTGTTTCCATGAATTATATTCCTCATGGGTTCACCTTTGCAGGATTGGACAATATTTGCTAGAAGGGTTGGTGTGACTGCTGCTTTTTACTTATTTATGGGAATGTGAGCGACGCATACTATTTTCCATAGAGATCTTTGTGAATACAGAATATTTTATAAGTATTAAACTAAGCGTCAAGGGGACACATCAGAAATTAGTGTTCACTGAGTTTGAGAGGGTCCCAGAAAAGTTTGGAGTGAGCACCCATATGAAACTGAGCCTAAAAGCCAGCTAACTCCCGTCCTCCCGTGTACTGCCCTGGGAAATGATCACGGATTAAAGTACGTTAGTTGACTGTCATGGTCTTGAACACACACTGAAGCATATAATTGGGGTAGGAGCTGACATGCGGACATTACAATCCCTTTTCAGTAAATAGCCTATTTTTAAGCTCTCTTGTGTTAGCAATCCCGTAGGACAAGAAATAAGCAGAACTTATCATGAAAAAGGAATTTAAATGAATTGTGATACTTGA